ACCGGAATCAAATCAGCCTGATATTTATCACAGAGACCTGGCTTAAAGCTTCTATTCCTGACAGCGTGGTGAACATTCCCGGTTTTTCAATAATACGTAGGGACCGAATTAACAAATCCCATGGTGGGGTTTGTGCATACGTTAATAACCGAGATGTTAACCATAAACAGATTTTAGAGTATCTTGCTGCCAGGAGCATGAAATCCTATGGCTGCACCTTAGACCTACTCGTATTCCACGCAAGTTCTCATGTATTATCGTAGCTATAGTATACCACCCACCTGGAGCAGATGATTATTCCATGAGAGACCATTTATTCCAGTCATTAAAAAAGGCTGAGTCAAAATTTCTAAACTGCGCACTTATTGTTGCAGGTGACTTTAATAGTCTTAATGTTAACAGAATTAAACATCATTTTCAACTGAAACAGATAGTTCAGACTCCTACCCGCAGAAATGCGATTCTCGACATCATCTTAACTAATCTGCACGAGTATTATGAAAAACCTATAATAATGCCCCCTTTTGGACTATCCGACCACAATACTATCATTTCATCTCCAAAGGAAAGAGCTAAAGATCTAATCTCTAATGGCACCACCATTAAGCGAAATATTAATCCAAGTTCCAAACGAGCCCTGGGAAGATATCTAAACTCGATTGATTGGCCTCAAATTATTCCATCTACTAATGATTGTGATCAGTTATCGAACATGTTTCAAAACATAGTCCTTACTGGGGTTAATATATTAATGCCGATGACACGATCAAAGAAATGTCCTGTCGATGCCCCCTGGATAACGAACCATTTCAAATCGCTGATCATTGAAAGGTAGAAAGCTTTTTCTACCTATGGCCCTGACTCGAGTAGGTTTAAATATCTTCGAAACCAAGTAAATCGAGAAAGGAAAATCTGTAAATCAAACTATTATAAACTCCGTGTACATCAAATAAAACAAACAGATTCCAAGGAATGGTGGAAAGAAGTAAAGCGTTTAAGTGGAATGGCATCTACTAGATCTAGTGATATTAGAAATATAATAGATATTGAAAACCTCGAACAATTATCTGAGCAAGAATTAGCTAACAAGATCAATGAAGCTTTCTTGGATCCCTTATCTGTATATAAACTGTCCAGCCCCCTTCTTCCTTTCGAGCTAGAAGTTAACAACCCTGAGTTTTTAGTAGTCACTGAAGAAACAGTGTATTCATATTTATCAAAGGTGAACCCTTCAAAAACTTGTGGTCCTGATGAAATATTAAATTGGCTTCTTCGTGATTATGCAGCTATATTAGCGTTCCCAATTAGTACCATCTTAAATGCTTCCTTCAAGCAGCAACGACTTCCATCGATGTGGAAACTAGACAATGTTTTACCTATACCTAAATCTAAGACAGTTCAAATCTTAGAAAAAGATCTCAGACCTATCTCACTGACCCCGAGCATATCCAAAGTAGCTGAATAATGCGTGGTAAATAGATATATCAAACCTGCGGTTCTGAAATCCATCGACTCAAATCAATTTGGTTCTATTCCTAATTCTTCGACCACATTTGCTTTAATAGACATGTTACATCACTGGACCTAAATGCTGGACGGAACAGGAGCAACTATCCGAGTGTTTCTATTTGACTATAAAAAGGCATTCGATTTCATCGATCATAGTATCCTAAGGATCAAGTTAGGTGCTTTAGATTTACCAACTAGTATCATCAACTGGATTATCGACTTTTTATCGGATAGATTTCAAAGGGTTAAGCTGTCAAATAGTTGCCTTTCTGAATGGGGCCAAGTACCGGCTGGTGTTCCTCAAGGAACCGAATTAGGCCCTTGGCTCTTCTTAATAATGATTAATGATTTGAAGAAACATAGTGAGAACTTATGGAAATACGTTGACGATACCACGGCGTCGGAAGTTGTATTGCAAGGCGAGCACAGTGAAGCTCAATTGATTGCAAATGAAATTTTAGATTGGTCCAATATCAATAGAATGCAATTAAATGCTGATAAATGTAAGGAGATACGAATTTCTTTTGCACGGAATCAACCCGAGCTTAACCCAATTTCAATTGAGAATCAAATCATAGAAGTTGTACCCGATTTTAAAGTGCTAGGTCTTAACATTAGCAACAACCTTACGTGAAATAAACATATCACTGAATTAGTCAAGAAAGCCTCCAAAAGGATATATTTCCTTATTCAACTTAAGAGAGCAAAAATCCCAATACAACAACTAATCACATTTTACATAACCTGTATAAGATCTGTGTTGGACTATGCTGTCCCGGTTTTCCACTACAGCCTACCCAAGTATTTAAGTCAAGATTTGGAACGAGTCCAGAAACGCGTATTTGGAATTATTTATCCCCATTTGAAATATGAGGAAGCTTTAAATCTCAGTGGAATTGAACATCTTTCCACTCACCATCAAAACAGCTGCAAGAAATTGTTTAATGCAATTACCAAAGATTCTAATCACAGTCTACATCATCTCTTGCCACCAAGGCATAACTCCATCCACGACCTGAGATCTATTAGATCATTTGACGTTCCAGTTTGTAAAACCAATCGGTTTAGTAATAGTTTTATTATGGCATCTACTACTCTTCATTTATCTATTTTATATTCTTAATAACTTTTGCATGCTAATTATAAACAGACACTTTTGACATTTTAGTTAATTAATTATAATACTTTGATATATTTCATAACTCTAATTTTAATAATTTTTAATTGTAAGTATAATACGCAATTCAGCTCATAGCTGCAATGTATTTACCATTTCTAAATAAAGTATAAAGTATAAAGTATAAAGTATAAAGCACTTGGATCACAGTCGGCATTATCTGGTGAAATATTCATAGACGAGAGACCGATATTAAAGGGTATGGGCAATCAAAATTGCTTCATCTATCTTATTGCTTCGTCTGAAAGAGCATGAAAAAGTAAGCCGATTGGCCGTTTAATGCTCTATTCTATCTCATCTAGTTCCGAAGTTATACGCAAAAATGTGCAAAATATAAATTGCTGATTCAGCACAATGTGTGACGTCATTAGCGGGGTAAGTATGTTTATTGAATACTACACTGAAGCATAGCTCAGTTATTATGGTCCCAAATCAAATGAAATTTTGGACACTGATTGTACATGATGAGACGCATGGAAAAACACTTCTAATTTTGTTGCCAAGGTAACAATGTCGTTCCCAGGCCCCTTGCGCCAATTTTATAAAACAGCTTTATTCAAGGTACTGATAAAAATAAAATAATATCAGAAGTATGTGTATGATACCTATGCATGCCAAAAGTTTACTTGCATGATAATAATTCGAAAATGACATACACATAGAGAAATGCAACTAGTTATTCAAAATCAGTGTAAGGGGCCTGGGAACGACTGTGTTGCCTTGACAACGAAATTAGAAGTATTTTCCCATGCGTCTCATCGTGTACTATCTGTATGCAAAATTTCATTTGATTTGAGCCAATAATAACTCAGCTATGCTTTAGTTTACTATTCAATAAACATACTTACCCCGCTTATGACGTCACACATTGTGCCGAATCAGCAATTTATATTTTGCACATTTTTGCGTATAACTTCGGAACCAGATGAGATAGGATAGAGCAGTAAACGGCCAATCGGCAGATGAAGCAATAAGATAGATGAAGCAATTTTCATTGCCCATACCCTTTAATGTCTTTGCGGAGGTTCTCCCAGTCTGCTTGATGGTAATCAAACACTGATCGAGATGTTCGAGGAGATTATTTGGGATGAACTTGAAAGTTAAAAAGTAGCAAGTTATGGTCACTATAAACATATCGACAGATGTTGGTGATATGCAGGACAAGTCAATAACACATTCCCGGCTGTTCGTTAAAATTAGATCAAGGATATCGTTTAATCTCGTCTGAAAAACGTTGGCTTGTTGAAGGAAGAAATCGTAGATCAGTTCACGAAATTCCATCGCAAAAGGAGAAGGAGTTATATCTTGAATGTCGTCTGAGTTCCATGTCAAGTCAGGGAAATTAAAGTCACCAGTTATAAAAACTTTGTCATATTGTTCACAACATGTCACAAAGGAGGTAAACGATTTTAACCATTCTTTGATATTAACGTTTAGTGGACGTTAACAAACACTTAAGAGGGCGTCTCTGTAAGAGCGGACCACTCGATCTGGGCTTCAAAAATAAATTTCTCTTATATTTC